ATCTTGAGTTGTACTCAGCATTCATCATTTTCTTCCTTGCTTCTTCTCGTTGGATAGTTGCACATACATTGTTGAAGGTGGGAAACTCTTGACTCATAAAGATGTGACTCCTTAGATCCTCGTACTCGGAGTTAAACTCCCTCATAGTTGGTAGATTCTATCTTCCTCGGCTCGTTTCAGGAGAATGGCAGGATCTATGGTATGTGGAAGGTATACATCCAACTCATTCCACATAGCCTTAAGGCGTCCAAGGTGTTGAACAAATGTTTTCCCTTCTTGTTGGGCACTGGCAATGTCCTTATTAAGTTGAAAGACACGTGCATAGTTGTTTTGATTTCCATACATATCCTGCAAGGCTTTCCAAAGCTCACATGAAGAATTGTAGTAACTAAAAATCTCAACATGTTTCTCCATGGTGTTGAGCAACAAGGATATGACAAGTTGATCATTGTAAGGCCATGCACCATATGTAGAGGAAGAGATGTCTGGAGCTTCCACACTTCCATTTACAAACCCTAATTTCCCTTTGCCTTCGAGAGCAAGAGATACAGCTTGAGACCAAGGGAGATAATTAAACTCGTTCAAGAGAATTGAACACAAACGTTGATTGGTGTTAACCTTGACGTCTGAGAAATTTGAAGAAGAGGTATGCAAGATGTCACCCTCTATGTTTACAAAAAATTTTTTAGCCATGGCTTAATATTGAAAGAAAGATGCAGCGGAAAAAAATGGCTAGAGGTAGGTTACAAAACCTGCTCTGATACCATGTAGATTTTCTGGTTTAAAGTTTCAATGTATATTTCATGTATATTCGTACAAGAGTGAGTCCGGGTATATATGAGAAGATAGAGGGAAAAGAGATGGAATGATGGCTGTAGTAAGCAGTCGACAAGAAAGAAGAAGGCATGTTGCCTACCTAATCTAAACCTTATATAAAGACATTACCCCAATCAGTCTCCTCCCTTAAATCAAGGGAAATGTGATTTACATAGTTTTACCCTAAAGATTACAATGTGCCTTACCCTAGAGATTTACCCTAGGGGTCACCTTGGTAGTAAACTCCATATGCAGCATCAGTCATATGCAGCATCAGTAGATGCAGCATCACAACAGAAAATTTTATTTGAATCCATCTAACCTCTTTCTACACTCAACTTACTCTGTGCACCCATTATTAATGACAGTAAATCGTATTGAAGCGGTTCACCCGTAAGTTTCCTCAAGTCCCAAAGCTTAATTCTCTTCTATTTTTCCCAAATTTCGCCATGAGATGGCCATTATGTTGGAATGCGATTGCAGAGACGGGTCCCTTGTGACACAGAAGTCTAAGTAGAGGGAGCAAAGCTTATAGGCTTCCACATGAAAATCGACAACCCCATTATAGGGGTTCACCTGCACTGCACATCAGAATAACCTATGGTTGTCCTGTAACTACCTACCATCTCACCCATTGTCACATTTTGATAATGAAATTGCCTAGAAATTTGGGAGGAGGGAAGTGGGAAGAGATGGCAACAACAGAGAAAAACCATAAAAATATAATATAAAATGCATGAAATTTGACCCAAAGAAGAAGCAAATGGAATTGAAAGTCCTTGCAATGATTTGCTATTGTAGAAAGTTTAACAATCTACGCGAGATTGATAAAAAAATTGAAACCCAAATACTTATCTTCTAAACCCTAAAAAATTGAAATCAAACAAACAAAAAATTCATAAACCAAGTCATACTATAGTTGGCGGATTCAAAACTTCAAAATCATCATCCATCAATAAAAAAAAATGTTTTTCTCTATAATAGTGTTTGGACCCGATTTTACACTATTGGTTCGTGCGATCAAAGTCGTTGATGAACATGGCTCTCAACCGTTGGATGACAGGATAGTTAAGATAATTATTATTGAAAGATATATTATGATTTTAATCATGATATTATCTTTTAATGGTGAATTATCTTGACATTTTTTATACGGAATAAATGAGTTTCAAATTATCTCTGATTTAGAAGCGATAACAGAGCTCAAGTGTGGGGCCGCGGAGAGACTTTTATTTGGAGATCGATTCCGTGAAAAAGAGTCCAGTTCAGATAAATTGGCAATGGGAGTGGTGTTTGATGAATGCCGTGCATGTCCTTAATGTGTTATTAGTTAAACACGTGGCCCAGTTTGCAAGAGAAGATTATCCGGAGTTAAGCTTTTGGGTTAATTCAGTTGATATGCATGCACGACAGTAGAGATTGATGACTTGTGGTGATGGTGTTGTCAGATTGAGTAGGATCATAAAAATTGATGATGGGGTTACAGTGTCCATGCCCTGTGAAAGACTACCGACTATATATATATATATATAAAAGGCGGATTGATGAATGGCGTGATGTCTGATGGCCTAGACCATATATATATATATATATATATAATGGTTGGTTGTTTAGATAAATATTATTTGTTTAAAGCCAAGCATGCAAGTTATCTTAGGAATCTTAATGGGGAATCTTAATGGGATAAAGCATGGCTACGGATAGGTTTTTGACAAAGAGATGAGAAGCCTAGGTGGACTAGAAATGTGATGTGATAAGCCTAGATGGACTGTAAAGTTTGAAAAGTCTTGGAACAAATCACATGGCTCAGTTTGAAGGATAGCCCTGGTTTCTGGGTTCTGATACGGATCAACTTCAGGAATTAGAATTGCAATTGAACTCTGCAACATCATCTGACCGTGCAGAGCAAGTACTTCAGTGCTATAAATACAGATGCAGTGGCAACGAAAAGGCCCCGACAATTCAACATAAAACTGCCATGCGCAAGCTTTCTCAACAACTTTGAGATTTTTTCTTTTCTTTTCTCGCTGACACATCTTCCGTTGGCATCAACAGCACTGTGAAAACAACCGGTGATATCTTAAGTCGGCATAGATAGCTCTGTCACCGTAGAATCAGCCGGTCTCGCAGCATCTTCCGTTGGCATCAACAGCACTGCGGCGAGGACGGTTGATTACCTATCCAAGTCTCGGTCGAAAAGGATTTCTGAATCCTTATTGGTCGAGGTCATCTCATCAGCCTTCTCGGCAAAGTGAGGTGTTACAGTTATTACATTCGGCACATTGAAAGCCGAATTTGATATTGAACTTCGTAAGAATAGTAACCTTGTCTTCAGGTTCGAGAGCCCAAGAGGCCGAGACGTGTTCCTTTCTCGGCCGCAATCGCAAGACGCAGAAGTCAGACGCGCACCCAACGCAACATCAACAAAATTTACTCCTCGGCCGAGCTCGGCCGACGAGTTGGCACGCCCCGCATTCATCGAAGGACGTAGTTAGCTTATTAATTACTCGGCATGCGCGCCACGTAGGCTTGGTAGTTTCTAGGGTCAACAAATAGCTAGTAGGGTTTTAACCGAAATGAAAGTAGGATAAACAAGGAATGATGGTAGGGTCTGATTATAGTTTGGAGTTATTCATAAATTTGAGTTTTATTATTAATTTCATTTTGTACTAAATAGTAATTGTGTAATAGGGTAAAAATGACGATTAACATTTAAAATTTAAGTTGAATGTAAAAAGAGGTTACATGAGTTTAAATAAAATTTTATTTTGTAGAATTAAATTGTATCTTAACCCAATAGATTGTCTACATACCTTATACTAAGCAAAAGGATCAAACCTACACAGTTATCTCCTGCCTACCTAGTGATTAATTATCTAATCCAATTCTCACATAACTTTTTAAGAAATAACAATATAAACATCTTGTCCTTTAGATCAAAAACGTATAAAAGCGACGAATCTTAACATAATTGTAATGGCAACAACGCCAAAAAAACTAACTAAAGCATACAAAATCCATACAAAAAATTAAAAAGAACTCATAACGCCAACATCTAGAATTAAGTTGATTGTAATCTTAGTAAAATCTATTTGAGGTATTTGTCGGTTTGGTCTCCGAACTTGTATAGAATTGTCAATTTTTCTCGTTAACTTTAATTTTATCCTAAACTTTTATAATTAACCACTTCCCCCTCCCCTCCCCTCCCCCCCCCTAAACTTAATCTTTAGCCGATTACCCGCCTAAAATTTTATAAACATAAAATTTGGGCCCTGCATTTTGATTTTAAAAATTTTCTTCCAATTTTCATCAATCCAATTTTTTTTTTTTGCCCCTTTATAATTGTTATGTGTTGGTCACATTATCAAAATATATAACAAATTAGATGAAAATTTTTAAAAGCTAACATTAAGGAGAAATTGACTATTTATAAAAATTTATGAATTAATCGATTAAATTTAAATTTAAAAGAGAAATTAATTAATTATAAAAATTCAGGAATAATCCGCTAAATGGGAAAATATGCCAAATTTATTTTGTCACCTAACTAGGTGCTATGAATCTTCTGCCACTGCAATGAATGTCATAGTGAAAAAAGGAGGCAGATTCTCTGTCCTCTCACTTTTCGTGCCCTCCTGTTTTGTGTGGTCACGGTTAAGCCACATCAACATTTTATATTTTTTTTATAGAAATAATAAGACAAAAAAGAATAATAATATAAAAGGTTGACGTGGCTTAACCGTGACCACACAAAACAAAAGGGCACGGGAAGTGGGAGGGCAGAGATCTGCCTCTGTGAAAAAATGGATTAAGTAGGACCGACCATCGATATTATTGTTGGTTGGATGGGAGAGATGTTTCTTTATGAGGATTTCAGAGATTCTTAAATTATATTTGTTTATCGTACATTATACGGTAAAAAATTATTGTAAATTTTTTTATTTAAAATTAAATATAACTGCATCTGCTTAAAACTGATCGTATAATATACAATAAACAAATGTGATTGAAAGATCTTGAGATCTTCACAATCCTCTCTCGTTGGATGGATGCTTACAAACGTACGAAGCAAGATTTCAATGGGAACCACAACGATGTCGTTTAGCGCAAAGATATAGAGTCCACCTGGTACGGCCCAAACCACGTGGTCTAATCGTTATGACCACACTGCAACCACGCCACAACAGTAACCGCAGCAGAAAAATCTCTCCCCTCGCTCTCTCTCTCACTTCCCCCAAATATTAAAAAGGAAAAACCAACGGTGCTGATAAACCTCACTCTCTCATCCCAGTCGTCTCCTCTCTCCTTTCTTCTCCAGCGTCCGATCTAAACTCCTCCCTGCAATCTCCATCTCTCGCGCCAAATAAAATCAAACAGGTTTTCTCTCGCTCCTCCATTTCTCTCTCTACTCTCTCTCTCTCTCTTAATTATGGCGGGTCTAGGGTTTCTGATTTTTCCGATTTCGGTTCTGTTATGTTATTTCTGTGCTGTTTTTGCTGTAGTTGAGCTAGGGTTTCAATGGCGGAAGCCCCTGTGAGTCCAGGCGGCGTCAGCCACGAGAGCGGCGGCGACGGGAGCGGAAGTCCGCGCTCGAACGTTCGGGAGCAGGATCGGTTCCTCCCGATCGCCAACATCAGCCGAATCATGAAGAAGGCGCTTCCTCCTAACGGGAAAATCGCCAAGGATGCCAAGGAAATCGTCCAGGATTGCGTTTCTGAGTTCATCAGCTTCATCACCTCTGAGTACGACGCCGTTTTGTAATATTTTTTTTCGTATTTTGTTTTTGAAAAATTTATCTGTCGGTTTTGGTTTGATGTGTGGGGGTGGAATTGTGTGCAGGGCGAGTGACAAGTGCCAGAGAGAGAAGAGGAAGACGATTAACGGTGATGATTTGCTCTGGGCAATGGCGACTTTGGACTTTGAGGATTATATCGACCCCCTCAAAGTTTACCTCGCCAAATACAGAGAGGTTACTCTATTTGCTAAGTTGTTTTCGCCTTTTTTTGCTCGTATTTGTTTGGTTTCAGAGAAAATTTAGTGGGATTTGGGAGATGATAAGGAAGTGAAAAATATTGATCTCATTAGTTTGTTTTATTTTTTGAATTACTTGTATTCAATTAATCTCAGAATTTCGGTGTTTTGAAACAAAACGGAGTGTTTTCTTATCTCATTTGTTGTAGGTTCGGATTCAGTACATTCATTAGTAACATTTAATTTTGATTTTGTGGCGATATGAAACATAATGTTTTCTGATCTCATTTCTTGCTGGTTCAAATTTGGTAAATTCATTAATAACATTTCATTTTGATTTTGTCGATATGAAACAGAGTGTTTTCTGATCTCATTTGTTGTTGGTTCGAAAGTAGGCCTACTGACGATGAGAGAAAATCGGTTACGGTGGTTTGGACATGTGCAAAGAAGGCCTACTGACGCTCCGATTAGAAGATGCGACTATGGGACAGAGATTCAGGGCCGAAGGGGTAGAGGAAGACCTAGGAAAACTTTGGAAGAGACTCTAAGAAAAGACTTAGAGTACTTGGATCTAACGAAGGACATGACACAGGACCGAGCACAATGGCGTTCTAAGATTCATATAGCCGATCCTACTCAGTGACTTGGATTTTCCAAGTCTCCAACCGAGAAGTTTTCCTCACTCGGAAAATTAAGGGAACACTACCCCAACCTACATGCTCCACTCAGAAAGCTTCAACATACAAGCTTCAACAAAAGAAAATTCAAAGAACTTAGCGAAGAAGGCTTTGGTGTATTTAACACAATACGTTGAAATGAAGGAAAACTTATTTATTGATATCCCCGATAAGCTACAAATATGTACATATACATGAGTCAAAATAAACAAACAAGATGGAGCCTTCACAAAGGTTGCTTAGGAGAAGTCTCAGCAGTCGGTAGAGCCCCAGAAAGAGAAGGCATCGAAGGGGGATCATTCGGAGCCTCAGTACTGGACAGAACCCTAGAAGGAGGAGGCATCAGAGGTTGATCATTTGGAGCTTCATTACGCATTACGCGGTACAGCCCCAGAAGACGAAGGCAATAAATGCCTTTGGAACAAACCCACAAATCTCTGATGATCAAGTAAAACTTGACCATCAGTTTCCTTCATCTGGTCAAGCTTCCTCTTCATGTTTGTAGCATAGTCATGTGCGAGCCGGTGCAACTGTTTATTCTCATGCTTGAGCCCTCTAATCTCCTGTTTGAGACTCATCACTTCGGCCGCCAATGATTCAACTTGGCGGGTTCGAGCAAATAGGCGTTGGGCCATATTAGACACAGAACCTGCACACTGAACACTGAGAGCCAGCGAATCCTTAACAGCTAACTCATCAGACCGTTTGGAAAGTAGTCTGTTATCTTTGGGAGTGAGAAGGTTCCTGGCCACCACCGCAGCGGTCATATCATTCTTCATCACGGAATCCCCAACGGTAAGAGGACCAGTAGGGGAGACGAAGGATGGGCGCCATATGTTGTCTGGAGAAGGCGGGGCTGCCTCTTCAATAAGGTTCAAGTCAAAACGACGGTCGGAGGGGCCAGACATTTTCAAAGGTGTTGAAGAGAGAAGAAGTCGGACAAATCAAGATCTTAGAAGTGCAAGAATGGAGCTTCTACTGGTGGAGATTCAAGTGTGCTTTGGAACTTAATGTTAGCCCCTATAAAAAGCTGCACTCGACGGAGCTTCAGACATCGAAGAGGCGCCTGCTCAGAAATCGAAGAGGCGTTTGTTTTCTCAAAAGCTGGGCTGCTTAGAGACCACGAGGGTGATCTCATAAATCGAAGAGGTGTTTGCTTTCTCAAAAGTTGGGCTGCTCAAAGACCATGAAAGCCGATCTCAGAAATCGAAGAGGCGCTCGCTTTCTCAAAAGCTGGGCTCCTCAGAGACCACGAGGGCCGATCTCAGAAATCGAAAAGGCACCTACTTTTCCAGCCTTGTCAGCACCTGTCACACGCACACTCAGCTTTGCGGAAATTATGGGTATTCTGTCGAAGACTTCTGGGGAAGTAGAAAACACATGAATCTTACTGTCCAATCACTCACTTCCCACACGCAACAATAGCTCATGGGTACCACAGATAACTTTGCCAAAGTTCTCTGCCAAAGTTGAGCACGTGAAGCTTGCAGCTCCCACTACATCGCTCTGACCAAGAAGGGTAAAAGAATAGCAAAGAAACAGCACTAACAAAGTTTAGACCCATAAATTTTGAAGGTCTAGCTACCATATTATTACCCACAAGGGTAAAGGAACAGTACCACTGCTGGATAATTGGAAAGTCCCTGTGTGTCAACCTCTGTGCCTCGTGGCAAGGTAGACTAGCAAACATGCCCAACCTTTACTCACATTCGAGAAAACACTCCCAATAAGATTGCTTGCTCCAAAATTGAAGAGGCACCGTCCTCCGAATCTCGAGAGCCAGACTCCCAACATGACTACTTTCTCAAAAATTGAAGAGATGGTAAAGGAACAGTACCATTGCTGGATAATTGGAAAGTCCCTGTGTGTCAACCTCTGTGCTTCGTGGCAAGGTAGACTAGCAAACATGCCCAACCTTTACTCACATTCGAGAAAACACTTCCAACAAGATTGCTTGCTCCAAAATCGAAGAGGCACCGCCCTCCGAATCTCGAGAGCCAGACTCCCAACATGATTACTTTCTCAAAAATCGAAGAAACACTGCTCCCCGAATCTCGAGAGCCAGACCCCCAGCATGATTGCTTTCTCAAAAATCGAAGAGGCATCGTTCTCCGAATCAATCGAAGAGGCGCTCGCTTTCTCAAAAGCTGGGCTGCTCAGAGATCACGAGGGCCGATCTCAGAAATCGAAGAGGCACCTACTTTTCTAGCCTTGTCAGCACCTGTCACACGCACACTCAGCTTTGCGGAAATTATGGGCATTCTGTCGAAGACTTCTGGTGAAGTCGAAAGCACATGAATCTTACTGTTCAATCACCCATTTCCCACACGCAACAATAGCTCATGGGTACCACAGATAACTTTGCCAAAGTCTCTGCCAAAGTTGAGCACGTGAAGCTTGCAGCTCCCACTACAGCGCTCTGACCAAGAAAGGTAAAAGAATAGCAAAGAAACAGCACTAACAAAGTTTAGACACATAAATTTTGAAGGTCTAGCTACCATATTATTACCCACAAGGGTAAAGGAACAGTACCACTGCTGGATAATTGGAAAGTCCCTGTGTGTCAACCTCTGTGCCTCGTGGCAAGGTAGACTAGCAAACATGCCCAACCTTTACTCACATCCGAGAAAACACTCCCAACAAGATTGCTTACTAAAAAATCGAAGAGGCACCGCCCTCTGAATCTCGAGAGCCAGACTCCCAACATGATTACTTTCTCAAAAATCGAAGAGACACTGCTCCCCGAATCTCGAGAGCCAGACCCCCAGCATGATTGCTTTCTCAAAAATCGAAGAAGCATCGTTCTCCGAATCTCGAGAGCCAGATACCACATACCACTTTTTCAAAGTGCTCTGACAGAGTTAAAACATGTGAAGCTGGCAGCTCCCACTACCGTGCTATGACCAAGCAGGGTAAAGGAATAGCATTACTACTTGTTGTTAGGGAGACTCCTATATATGTCGACCTCCATCCCCAACGGACAGGCAGACCTGCAAAATGCTTAACCCTTCCTCATATCTGAAAGGGCACTCCCAACGAAGCCTTTCGAAATATTCAGCTTTCTTTCCCCCCGATAATACCTCTGCAAACAAACTATACTAGAGCAAGAATATCTCATATCATCAGGGTTAAAAGCAAGAGTATCCCATATCATGCTTTTTCCCTGTCTTTTCCTTTGGCCTTGTTTTTACCTGCAAGACAAGGAGAAAGAGAGCAATCAGTCAGCACTTGAAATCAAGCTCCCAACCAGGAATTGACTGCCTGGAACCCCTTACCTGATTACTTACCTGGCATTGCTCTCGAGTACTCATCTTCAACATCTTATGTTTCCAGGGAAGATACCGCATCTGCTTGAGGAACAGATAGGGCAAGTGCGAAGGATACAAGGAAGCATATGGAGACAAGCGTAACAGCACACGTGCCTATACATCCATTACTCTGTCAAAAGCAAAAGTATCCCATATCAGCAGGGTCGAACGTACTCTAGATTTGATGGACTTGTTTTGACCCTTAAATTCTTCAGTCGGCCTTATACTCTGGAGGAAACCAGAAAACCCTCCAGCTCAGTTCAAGAATAAGCCTGTGGAAAGTTACTTCTTCAAAAGCAAAAGTATCCCATATCATCTCTTCTCATTTTTCTTCTCTTTATCCTTCATGCTGCTGCAAGATGGGGAGAAGGTGAACAATCAGCCGGAGCTCTGATTGCTTACCTTGTCTGTCACCTCTTTCAGCAGATCCCCTAGCTCGGCGACTTGGGGGACTCCTACTACATGGTTTTGTATCGCGCTTGACCAAGCCTGAAACTACAAGTAAGCTTCAAGTGAAATTGATACATTACCTTGTGCATCTCCACCAGTTAAAGATACCACCCCTGGATGGAGGAAGAGTACTTCCAGAGAAGCTGCCACATCTACCTATGAGACAGATAAGGCAAGTCAAGATGATACCACACTCCGATACTTAGAAGTTTCGTGATTACGAGATCATTCTCCCACAATATTTCCTAATGTCATTTGTACTCTAATGTCATTTGTACTAAATCATTCACTTGTACTCACTAAAAGAGAGCTTAAACCTATGTACTTGTGTAAACCCTTCACAATTAATGAGAACTCTTCTATTCCGTGGACGTAGCCAATCTGGGTGAACCACGTACATCTTGTGTTTGCTTTCCTATCTCTATCCATTTATATACTTATCCACACTAATGACCGGAGCAATCTAGCGAAGATCACAAAAAGCGACCGTTTTCGCTACCTAGGATCTATCTTGCAAGAGAACGGAGAATTGGATGGAGATCTCAACTATAGAATACGAGCTGGATGGATGAAGTGTAAGAGTGCATCCGGCGTGTTGTGTGACCGTCGTAGGCCACTGAAGCTCAAGGGAAAATTTTATAAGACGGCAATAGGCCAGCGATGTTGTATGGCACAGAATGTTGGGCGGTGAAACATCAACACGTACACAAAATGGGTGTAGCGGAGATGAGGATGCTTCGTGGGATGTGTGGGCACACGAGAAATGATAAGATTGAGAATGAGGATATCCGAGGTAAAGTAGGAGTAGCCGAAATTGAAGGAAAGATGAGAGAAAATCGGTTCCGGTGATTTGGACATGTGCAAAGAAGGCCGACTGACGCTCCGGTTCGAAGATGTGACTACGGGACAGAGGTTCAGGGCCGAAGGGGTAGAGGAAGACCTAGGAAAACTTTGGAAGAGACTCTAAGAAAAGGCTTAGAGTACTTGGATCTAACGGAGGACATGACACAAACCGAGCGCAATGGTGTTCTATGATTCATATAGCCGACCCCACTTAGTGGGAAAAGGCTTTGTTGTTGTTGTTTGTTGTTGTATTTGTTGTTGGTTCGAATTTGGTAATATCACTAGTAACATTTCATTTTGTTTTTGTTCCGTGAAACGAAACAAGTATTTTCTGATCTCATTTGTTGTTGGTTCGAATTTGGTAATTAGTAACATTTCATTTTCATTTTGTCGCGAAATGAAACTGAGTGTTTTCTTATCTCATTTGTTGTTGGTTTGAATTTGGAAAATCTATTAGTAACATTTCATTTTGCGCTTTGACTAATACACTGTTGCTTTTGTTTCCGGTGGTTGTCTTCTGGGTCGATTGGGATATTGCAGGTGGAGGTGAGTTAAAATTGTCATTTTTTATTCATGCAGCAGTTTTTATAATTTCTACCATTTGCTTTGATTTACCTTTCTCACTAATTATTGGATTTCTGTTTGTGGCGGCAAACAGGGTGATACCAAGGGTTCAGGGAAAGGTGGAGATTCATCTTCTAAGAAAGATGTTCAGCCAAGTCCAAACCCTCAGGTTGAATATGGTTTCATTTTAGGGAATTGTTATTGGCACTCCAAAAATCTCATTTTGCACTCCAAACATTCTTTAATTAGAATGAAAAATACACTTATGAGGCGTGTAGAATGAGATTTTTGGAGTGCTAATAACAGTTCCCTTATTTTATTAATGAAGTGATAATCTTTATTTTATTTTTTTTCATATCATTTTTTACTTGGTATAAATTGTGCTTACTTCTTTTAAGGGGTTGTAATTTATATGAAAGCTTATCTTATCCTCTTATGGTGGCAATTTTTTTCTTATAGCAGATTTCTCACCAAGGTTCTTTCTCCCAAGGAGGGAACTACTCAAATTCTCAAGTAATCTCTTGCTCTTCGTCTCCACTTACCCAACTGTTTTCAGAAATTATTCCTTCTTTTAAGAAAGTTTGTTAGACAGTAGTCCTTTTATTGCCACCACATTTCCATATAAATTATAATCATTTCCATCTATATATAAGCAATATTTTCCTTAGCATTGTCGCCTTCTATTGATGGATTTGTCAAATAACCTTATTCGAGAGACACCTTGTAGGGTTTACCTCCGAAATTTTGTTTTAATGATCCAAACCATCTAATTTTAGGTATTTTCTTAAAAAGCATCCTTGCACAAAATGGGAAAAATCCGAAACCATTAAGAGATCTAGTTGTACCCAAGAAAATAGAAGGAAATGTTTCAAGAAGACACTAAAATGACAATCATTTAATTAAGGGGGTAAATGGTTTTGGATTTGAGTATTTTTTGCAAGGATGATCTTTACAGAGAGACCTAAAAACTAGATGGTTCGGATCATTGGAACATAATACGGAGTGGGGGCTACGAGGTGTCCTTATTTGACGGATCCATCCATTGAAGCTCCATCTTCCTTTGCATGTTTTGAGCATGATATGTGCACAGCCAAGTGATGGTTCTTCAGGAAGAATGATCGACACAATTTGTTTGCACATCATGATTTAATCTTATTCCTGGCTTTGGTTGGTTGGTGTTTTTCACTTCGGTTAAAGATACGAAGATGTTCTTTTCAATATTATGTAGTAATTGTGCATGTCATTGATAGAATTGATCATATGCTGGATGATCATTTGTTTGTGGAATGTGGATAACCTTTTCTCTGTGCAAAATAAAGCAAAAACTGCACTCAAGCACTCAAACCATGCATGTTTTTGTGGGGTTTTCTTGTTTTTATACATTATTTTTTTGCATGCCCTGAAATAGTAGTGTTAATTGTGCCATGTTTGATCGTCTTCGAGGTTTTCGCTTGTTGCTGCAGAGTTTATAGTTGCTGCTTTTGTGCAGAGTTTGTAGTTGTTGCTATGTTTTTCTTTTTACCCAACGTATGCTAGGTTAAGTGTGTACTTTCCAATAGTTAAGATTATCTATACAATATAAAGTGTTGGTTGGGGTGAACGTGAGATGTGGCAAGCTACTGACTAGGGGTGCAACTCGGGCGGGTTGGAAGGTCAACCCAATCCTAACCCAACTTTTACAATTCGGGCTCGGGTTCGGGTTGGGTTTCATTCGGGTTCATTTGGGCTTGAGTTTTATTGGGTTAGGGCTTACTTGGGTTGGGTTTGGGTTGCCAAATTGTTTTCAAGTTTAATCTTGTAACAACTTAGTTTCCAAGAATTCCTAAAAAATTAAGCCAAGTAGCATCAAAGATAGCTAACTCTAATTTCATAAATTAATCTACTATAAAGCTTTAGGATTTAGAGACTACGAATATGGGCTGACTAATCAAAGCCTCTTATTCCCTAAAAGCTTAAGTAATTATAAAAGGTAATTTATTAAAAATTATTAGAAAGGGCGTTGGTTTTTGGACTTGGCACGCTTGGGTGTAATATAAGCATTAATTGATATAGGTTACAATCTGGTTAGATTGGGTTTGGTTAGTCGGGTTAGGTTGGATTGGGGATGAACGGGCAAATGATCAACCCAACTTAACCCAATCAATGAATGGGTTGAAATTGGGTTGGGTTCGGGCAGGTTATAACTGAAAAAAACCCACTTGTTCGGGTTTAAAGTTGGGTTGGACATGGGTGGGTTCGGACCCAAGTTGCACCCCTACTACTGACCAGTAGTAGTTGCATTTTAGCATACGATGTTAGTAGATCTATAAGTACTGTAAGGGATCATGTTTTAATTCAACTTTGAGCTTCCAATAGCTTAGTCTAGCTTCTATTCATAAGGATTCGACGTGATCATGGAGTGCCGGCTGTCGACTACCTGACGCTCTCCCCCTCCTCTTTTATCCGGGCTTGGGACCGGCAATGTAAGATAAACTTACACGGCGGAGTTAGTCTAGCTTCTATAATGTTAAAATTTTGGGGAGGGAGACCATGTGATGAATATCATATCAGCAGTGCGGCAAAGTTATGTATGAAAGATTCTTAAACTTTAAGATGACATTTTTGCATGTCAAGGATTCTTCTTGGGCCTGCCTTTTGCGATATTATCGTTCGTCTGTTTGGCTTTGTTTTCGTTGAATCGCTTTATGAAACTATAGAAATGTTATTGCTAGTTGTGACTTGTGAGTATGTTGGTTTTGTGGTTTTTGTGCTCGGTGTGGTCTGATCTAACGAATGATTTGTCGTCACAGAACCAGAACATGATAACTCCTCTGCAAGGATCAGAGTAGATCGAGTCTTCTTGAAGCTACAGAACAATTTAGCTGCCCGTTTGAGATGATCTCGTCCCGTGCGCGGAACAAACAGCGACGAATAACTTGTTAAATTATTTCCGTTGTGAAAGCTATAATTCGAGGGTAGTATTAGTGATTTCATTCGCGTCCGTTAGTATTTACTTTACTGGTATGGTTTTTATGGTAAGGAGTTTATTTAAGTTGAATGTCTGGTATTTTAAATCTCAGGAGGATCTGTTTTCTTCTGATTTGTAGACTTTATGGCATTGTTCCTGTTACCAAACCGTGTAGGAAATATTATTTACTTCCAAATTCTATAGTATATTTTAATTTTTGTTATTTTGGGCAGTTTCATAACACGCTGTATTGTAGGAGAATAATTTACACGGTACGGACCCTAGTTCTTCTCATTGCGTACAAAGGAATGCTTAATCCGTCTACAACCGCTTAGAATTCGTGAAAAAATAACTTTATTCGCTTATCCAGTTTGCGTTCTATTCCAACTTTTCCTGGCTAACTACTAAGCTTTCCAGGTTTGCTACTCTAGTTGAACTCGGGTTTTCCTACAAAGTCTTTCTTAATTGGCCCTTACCTGCCCTGCCTGTACTATTACTGTGGCGGTGTATTTATGCTATGTAAGTCCTGCAAACTCTTCCTAAGATAGGAAATATTTAACTTCTTATATGTAAGGAGTCATCATCTTTGCAGAAAAAATCAATGTTTAACGTGCGAAACAACGAATGATCCTACGTGAGTGAAGCAAGTGTTCTCATAAGATTCTCTATTTTGTGAACTGAAATGAACGCAGGATGTTTTCGTACTTTTCACTGGATGCGGTGATACGAGTTGGGACACTTGGTACATAATCTCCGGCCCCTTCTTAATGTACTGATTCGATACTTTTTCACTACCACCCTTAAGGGGGCGTTTGTTGCGCCGGACTATCTCGGACTGGACTAGTTTCAAGGACTAAACTGGACTGGCTTAGACTAGACTAAGCTGGACTAACTTAGTGAAGCGTTTGGTGCAGTATTGGACTAAGAAGCTGGATAATAACAAATTCTAATATTATATTATTTAATATATAAATTATTAATATTTTATTATGATCTAGGTGACCGGAGATGACGAGGAGTCTATCGGGAGTGGTTGTTGAGCATGACGAGGACGAGCGAGGATAGTCTTAGCTAGTCCCATGGTTATTGGGGGGTCTCGCTAAGACCTCTTAGTGAAGGGTTTTGTCCATGCTAGTCCTCTTTAGTCTCATTAATGTTAGTCCCAGCATGGAACAAACATAGTATTGGACTAACAGCTAGTCCAGTCCAGTCCAGTCCCACTTAATGAGGGCAAACAAACGCCCCCTAGGGTTTACTAAGACGGATTCCCATTCTCTTTTGACTTCACGGTCGAATATAATTGTCGTCACTTGCTGTTCACTTTAATCAAACAACGGTGGAAGAAGCACAACAAAAAAAATTCAATGATCACATTAAAATTGAATGATGAGTGATCTTAACGGTCCGTTTGGTAGGCTATTAAATGAAGATTGAATGGTGGATGATCTTAATAGTTCTTTTGATAAGCTGGATGAGATTGAGTTTTAGGGATATGATTGGATAGACAGAAACTTATAATATATGTATTAATGCTATGTTAGATAGCTCACTCTATTATGTATTCATAACTCATCAAGTAATGTTCATCTTACATTTTGACACAACAAACAATGGACTGGACTCAAGTTTATTTTAATTAGTCACCGAATCCAACCCACCAACGGGACTTAATTGTCTTGAACCACAAAGTCTAGTTGAACGGGATTCCACTAATAGAATAATCTTTGTAGGACTCTTCATAGTCTTGCATTAGTAATTTGAAACGTTATAGTAGTAGTATACATGTGCTATAAAAGTAATTTGGGGTGTCATGAGAGGACTAAAACTTATATTTGGTCAGCATTTAAGTTGATATTTCTACAATGACATTTCACGTCTTATATCAATCTCCACTCAATCCATACAAATATTAGTTTTGTGCACATAAAGGAAGAAATAATTCATACTAACATTTGCCTACACACTTTGTGTGTATGAACATATTTTTTTAGAAAATGAGGAGAGGGAGAGAGAAAGAACGTGGAAGGAGTGAGAGGTTTTTGTTTTTGGTTTTTATTTTATTTTTTAAATGTTTAAGGTATTTTAACATCATTTGTAGATGAGATTTCAATAAAAAAAAAGTAAAATTTGGATCTATGAAATTACATTATTGATCATCACTTTTTTTTTGTATGATAGAAAATCCTGTTTTGATTGACAACAAGAGTTTCATAAACTAGTAAAGATTATTATGAGAGAAAAGGAATCCATGAGAAAGTAGAGAAAGAAAAAGAAAGAGATGAGAGAGAGTCGATTGCGGTTCGTTAGCGGAGCTGCACGTCAACACGTTGCTTTTTGCGCGCCCAAATTCCACGTCGATCAAGTTCGGGTTTTGCGCGCGGTGCACCAATCCTGTTCCTTTTCTTCTCCCATACGTAGCAACTTAGTGGAAGATGCCTCGATATCAATCTCTAATTATTTCTTTATTGTTGTGAGTAGAAAAGCATAAATGTCTCGTATGCTTAAGCTATGTAACGCATGCTGATATCTTGTAAAACACTTAATAAGAGCTGTTCGGAATTGATTGCTTCCGCACGAAGTATTTGTACTCGTAAGTGTTTTGCTAAAAACGCTTGTCAAACGTTGACGTGTTTTACAAAGAATAACTTGTATGTTTTTCATACCGTATTAAAAAATGTTTCTATAACTAAAGTATATAAGATAACTTATCAAACGTTGCTATTCTGCTTTTAAACTTTTAGTTATCTGAAAATGCTTTTAGAAACGTTAGATTCTAAAAGCATTAGTAACTGATTAGCAAATGAGGCATTTCCTTCTTTCATGTCAGGTCATGGTATTGTTGGGTTCCAACCAAAACATAATTAACATAGTGGCAAATTTGGCAAAAGGACCAACCTAAAGATTCGGTATTATAATTGTCATTGGCCAATAAAAAGTTGGGTCGGTTTTTCTTGTTTGGCCAATCACAATGATCACAAAATTTTCAGACGCACCACCCCTTATTTAAGCCTTAATTCTAGCAATGGTTTTGTATTATTGTTTGGACCTTATTTCGCACCCACTTAGCTCATATATTCTAAATTGTTCAATGAGAGAATTATTAAGGATCAGGATTGGTTTCTAGATAAGGGTTGAATCAATCGCAAAATCTATTCAGGTTTAAAGTCCTAGTCGAAGACGATGGGACTTGGCAACAATAGAGTTTCACCCGAGAATAATTTCGAGTGTATTCAGAAAATATGCTCAGGAATTGGAATATTATTAGAATTTTCCAACTCGGTAGACTTGCCCATCACAAGATCCATCTCTATAAATAGAAGTGGTTCTGCAACGTGAGAAACCTTTTCAACTCAACAAACGAACTACTCAACACTTCACACGAAAGCGTACTCACAACCCTGAAAAAAATATATTAATTATCCTAATCCCCTGTCAACACATATGCAATTCATTAGAATATCATTAGGTTGGCAACCGGCAACATATTTTCATTAAAACATCACTGGGTTGGCAATCGTCAACATATTAAGTTCATTGGAACATCACTTGAGTTGTAGAACTAGTCGCTCTAGGAGTACCTTCAGTTTGGTGGAACAACACTACTTCTAGTTCGGTCAGTTATCTATCCAAGTCTCAGCCGGCAAAGTGTCTTCGATTCTTTTGTAGAAAGAGGTCACTTCATTAGCTTTCTCGCCGAAATGAGGTGTTCTATAATTAGCTACTCGCATGTGCGTTTCAGAGTTCAGTATTCAGACTAGGGGTGGGTCCGATTTCATTCATTTCCGTTTTTTGTCAAAATTGAAATCGAACCGAAACTTCGGTTTGATTCGTTTTGGTTTGGTTTTGTTTGTTTCGGTTTTTTTTTTAATTTATAAAACTTGATCTTTTTTTAATATGAAATTTAGAAAAGAGGCTTGCATTGGTAGACTAATAATAAGAAAATGAAGAAAGTGATAATATGGGAAGGTAGTTGTACGTATACGAGATCATATAAACCAATTCTATTTTATCGACAACCTCAATTGTAAAGAAAAATGATCACCGTATCCATTCAAAAAACAAACAAATAGAGAAGCTCTTCCAAAACTTTCCTCTATAACCAATGAAATATCCTCCCTAATTGAACCAAGCATGCTCCTTGAAAAAGCCCTAGGCTTAGTTTCAAACTTGGCAACAAATTTTCACAAAAGAAACATCATGGGCATACATTCATAGTGTAAAGGGATTCGGTTAGGTTTTCGAACCTCCAAAATCGAAACCGAACCAATAAGGTTTGGTTTGGTTTTTTTTTTCGATTTTCGGTTTCGTTTCAGTGTTCAATGTGGTTTTTTTCGATTTTCAATTTTTTGAACCCACCCTTAATTTAGACAATCGAACAACGTTCACGATAAATACACTCATTTTATCTGAGTATCTTTGCCCCTGTTGCTGAGACCGATTCGGTCCACTTATATTCTCACAAATATAATTGAATGTTGAACCTGGTGCAGAAGATCATGAACTTTGCAGTGAATTAAGCAACCTTATCTTTAGGCTCCAGAACCCTAGGTCGAGAGGCGTTTCGTCCTCGGTAGTAGTCACTAAGTGCAGAAGTTAGCAGCGCGTTCAACACCACCACCACATCTATTCTACTCACCCATCCGCCCGCACTCATAAGAATGACGTAGTTAGCTCAATAGTTGCTTGACGCCTTATAGGTCTTGTAATTTCAAGGTCAACAATTATACATAAAGTTTCACTTTATACTCTACATTTTGTTCTGACTCATTTTACCCCATGTACTCATCTTTTGTATTCTATGTTACCATATTTTGTCAATTAGGTTGAGATAGACGGTAGTTTCACTAACGTGGTTGGTTCTTTGGTTTTTCCAATTATGAATATAGGGATAAGTCATTGCGATTGTGAATTCTAATGACAACCCTTGGAAACTTGAGCCTTTTAAATTGTTATGGAGAGAATTTGGGCAATTTAGGTGCGGCCTTTTATGTCTTTTTGGTTTGGGTTAAAGTGATTTTGTTGTTTTATACATCTCAAATGTGAAAATCGATTGGAAAGACCAAAGAGCATGTCCATGTTTATAAAACTAAGGTCTCTTTCAACTCAGTTGAATGCATGACATAACGTAAAATACGTAGAATAATTTTACCTCAAAAAAAAAAAAAAAAAAAAGGTAATCGCAGAATAATTACGAAACGTAGGAAATGTCATAGCCTGTCCCGA